GAATGATAAAACATTTTATTTTTAATTCTTAATTATAATTTATTTGTATTTATGTTTTTAGATGCCAAACGCCTTATTGGTCGTCGCTTCGAAGATGCCACTGTTCAGGCTGATATGAGACATTGGCCCTTCACTGTTGTAAGTAATGGTGGCAAGCCTAAGATCCAAGTACATTACAAAGGAGAGACGAAGACTTTCTTCCCTGAAGAAGTGAGTTCAATGGTTCTGGTAAAGATGAAGGAAACTGCTGAGGCATACCTCGGAAAGACCGTCACCAATGCCGTGATCACTGTACCTGCTTACTTCAACGACTCGCAGCGTCAGGCAACCAAGGACGCTGGTACTATCTCGGGCTTGAACGTTTTACGTATCATCAATGAGCCCACTGCTGCTGCTATTGCTTATGGCTTAGACAAAAAAGCCACTTGTGAGCGCAACGTCCTAATCTTTGATCTTGGCGGTGGCACCTTTGATGTCTCAATTTTGACTATCGAAGATGGCATTTTCGAGGTCAAATCTACAGCAGGAGACACTCATCTTGGCGGCGAAGATTTCGATAATCGTATGGTTAATCACTTTGTCCAGGAATTCAAACGTAAATACAAAAAGGATTTAACTTCGAAGAAACGTGCTCTTCGTCGTTTGAGAACAGCTTGTGAACGTGCGAAACGTACTCTGTCTTCGTCTACTCAAGCTAACATTGAAATTGATTCGCTCTATGAGGGAATTGATTTCTATACTTCGATCACCAGGGCTCGTTTTGAAGAACTTTGTGCTGATCTCTTCAGAGGAACAGTAGAGCCAGTGGAAAAATCACTGCGCGATGCTAAGATGGATAAGGCTCAGATTCACGATATCGTCCTAGTTGGTGGATCTACGCGTATTCCCAAGATTCAGAAATTGCTACAGGACTTCTTCAACGGAAAGGAGTTGAACAAATCTATCAATCCTGATGAAGCTGTCGCTTATGGAGCTGCTGTACAAGCTGCAATTTTGCATGGTGACAAATCAGAAGAAGTACAAGATTTACTGCTTCTTGATGTCACACCCCTGTCTCTTGGTATTGAAACTGCTGGTGGTGTTATGACTTCTCTTATTAAGAGAAATACTACTATTCCAACCAAGCAAACTCAAACCTTTACCACATATGCTGATAATCAACCAGGTGTATTGATTCAGGTTTATGAAGGTGAACGTGCAATGACGAGGGATAACAACTTGTTAGGTAAATTCGAACTCAGCGGTATTCCACCTGCTCCTAGAGGAGTTCCTCAAATCGAAGTTACCTTTGACATTGATGCCAATGGTATTTTGAACGTCTCAGCAGTGGACAAATCTACTGGCAAAGAGAACAAAATCACTATCACCAATGATAAGGGGCGTCTCAGTAAGGAAGATATTGAAAGAATGGTCAATGAAGCAGAGAAATATCGTACTGAAGATGAGAAACAAAAAGAAACTATTGCTGCTAAGAATGGTCTTGAGTCTTACTGCTTTAACATGAAGAGTACAGTGGAAGATGAGAAACTGAAAGATAAGATCAGTGCTAGTGATAAACAGGTTGTATTGGATAAATCCAATGATATCATCAAATGGCTTGATGCTAATCAGCTTGCTGATAAAGAAGAATATGAACACAAACAAAAAGAATTGGAGGCTATATGCAACCCTATTGTCACAAAGTTGTATCAGGGAACTGCAAATATGCCTGGTGGAATGCCTGGTGGCTTCCCAGGAGCTGGAGGTGCTGCTCCTGGTGGCAGTGCATCTGGACCTACTATTGAAGAAGTTGACTAAACGTTTACTCACTTGCCACTGCCCTCTCCATAATTTATTTCCATTCAGGAAAGATAACAATTTGAAGAACATAGAATTGTTACAGCCTGTGGTCTTTCGTTCCTCAGTATAATTTATCTACGTTTTAGTTTCTTCTCATATCACTGTAAAACCAGTATAGATTTATTTATTTTCATTTCCTGTAAAACTGAAAAAATAACTTCTATTAATGATTTTCTACAGATTGCAATGCGTAAAAAATAACTTTATTGTACTTATATTTTGATTATATGGTTCGGAAAAGATCAGTTGTTGATTTTCTATGTTTAAAAAACTGAAAATATAAAACAACCCCTGAAACTTACACACTTGTTTAATTTATTCCTTCTGTTTAGCAATTAAAGACAGTTAATGTTTTCTCTCCATTAACACTTTCAGCACGGGACGTTTTTCAATGTCGCACCTTAGGCATGCAACCGTTTTTTTACCCTTATGCAAAAATTGAAAATGAACTGCAAATGCAATACAATCCGAACCCTAACCCATCGTACCCGAAAAGTACTGGATTATCGTAAAGTCTATAATGTTCTAAGTTATCCGTCGAAGCATTCATCAGGCTTACAGTATTATGACATAATCTCTGCTGAAAGTGTTAAAGTGATTAACTTCAAGATACATTTAATTAGCTACAATTTATTTATTACGGATTTTGTATTTTAATTCGCACTATTCGTTTTATAATTAATACAAATCTTAAATTTTTCATTAATTATAACATTCCAATTGTTTGTAAAATATCGATTATTATACTAAACCAATTGTATAAATTTGTATTATTAATGTTTCAAAATTCGAGTTAATTGCGTTCGTTTTTACAGGATTAGTGCACATTATAGTAATTATGTACAAAGCAATTATCAAGTTTTAAACGTTTAAATACTGATATATTTCTAATTACGACTTGATAAATATTAAATGTAATTTTTTCTAATTGTGATACTTAAGTTTCACATATGTAATATCTTATTTAAAACGTATCACAACTCTGTGCTTTAGATCATCTATCCAGCATGACAATTGATGATAATACCATAGATAGTGAACTACCAACTTTGTTATATATATTATAATTAGTAGCAGTTAGTAGAAAGTATAGAAATAAGTATCGGTTTGCATAATAAACATTGGAAGTTGCGAATCGTCTATAAAAAGTACTTGGCTCCAAATTGTTTTACATCCAAAAGGTTAAGCTTATACAAAATTCAAGCCAAATTACTGATTTGGATCTTGCATGTTCTTTTTGCTACAGGATAAAAAATAGTTTTATTAATAATTTAAAGGCAATAAAATTAAAATTATAACACTTTTCATGAAATTAAATTTTATTTGCAAGCATAACAGACCCAAATATTACAGAAAACGAATATTTCATAATTTATAACATAATGATGTAAATTCGATAGGTGGATAATACACCATTATGTTTTAATATGATTTATACTAAGACTTCACGAATTTTCTAATGTATATCAGAAGTAATCTGAATATAACATATGGTAAAAGAATTGAATTGTGTAATTCGAAAATAAAAACAAAGTTCAAACATTATTATAAAAGAAATTAAGATGTACGTGCCATAGTAGTTGCAAACAATACAGTTGATTTTCCTTTCTTCTTCTTTTTTCTGCTTTCATTCTTCTTTGTATCTAAAACACAAATACTGTTGGAGGCAAAAGAACTTGAAAACATTGCTATGAATTTATAACCATCAACTAAAAAACGTTCTTTCATAAATATTGAAGACCACATGCCAGTTGAACCAGAACAAAAAAAAAGGTGTATTAGATGTTTAGTAATGAAGGTGGAATAATGGACTAAAATTGTATATTCAACTTCAGAGTTCGACTTCGCAATAAATGTTTTACACTTTATCATTTATAATATTATAATTAATTGCCTTATTTTATGAAACATTTCAATGAATAAACTTATTTATCAGTTGTTTGAATTTTTTTTTCAAATTTTTCAAACAAATGAAGTTACTGTTTTCTATTAAACAATTTTATAAATGATGAATATTTGCAGAAACATGTGGATATGTCTGTTTCTATTTATACTAAATTTAGTAGAAAAAATTGTATTGAAATTGATATCTTATATCCTTAAAGTAGTAGTCAAAATAATTTGACTCTATTGTTATGGATTTATGCTTTTAAGATATACAAATTTAAGGCATATTAATTTTTATATAAATCAATATTTGTATAAAAAAAATTATAATTAAATTGTAATGTGGTAGATTTACCTAACTTTGTTTGCTCTAAAGCAGCAGCTAATGCATCACCAAAACTTTGACTGTGTGATGGTACTGATGCATAATCCTGTTCCTCGGCATCTCCCAAGGATGACTGAATAGTTGTATTAGAACACGATTTCCCACGAGTAGAATTAATCGATGGCCATACAGTTTGCGACTTTGAAGGTGTGCCAGTATTTCGTAACATTTCTGCGAATGATAATCCTTGTTCATGAGCGACATTATCAGTTTTTCTGGATGCAACCATTTCGTCAAATGTGCTTAAGGGTGGACTACTAGCTACACTTGAAGTTGCTGTCAGTTCTGCCGGTGATGGAGCACCTTCCCTAAAAGGAAATATTCATTTACAGTTTACTAAATGTAAGCTGATGTAGCACTAGTATTTTTCACAAAATAATTCAATTAATTAAAGTGAAGTAGTATACAGGGTGAGGCACTAACTATTGCCATCTAGAATAACTCCGAAAGTATGATAGTAGTAGAAAAGTTTTCGAAACAAAAGTTGCATGAGACAACAGGGGCCGTAGTATGGCGTTAATCTTTTGTTGCTAGGTGGGGTCGCTTCAGAGATATGAATCTATTTTTTTACGGCAGTTCAAAAGCTCATTAATTTCTAAGTAAAAAAGTATTAAACATTGTTTGTCCTAGAGTTAATAATTAACGAGATATTATTATAAAGATATTATCTAAAGCCAAGCTCTGAACGCAAAATGTGACAAAAACATTAAAACATGACGTAGATTAGATAAACTGTTAGTCAGAGAGGTTGTTTCACGTTTTAATGATTTATTTTATAGGGTTGGTATCAATAATTCATGATATGATAAAAAATTTATTGTCTATGATAGTTTAAACCTTTTCTCAAACTTCAAATATATTTTTCTCAAAACAAGGTTTCCAAAAACAGTGCTTACGATTACTCAAAAACTATTCAACAGATTTACTTCAAATTTTGTGTGGTTATATGGTACACCATTATGCAGTTTTTGACGTGACGAATTTTTTATGATTCGTAGTTTCTTTTTTATTGCGTAAAAAAGGGCAAGATTTCATCTCCGAAAATTAAAATTTTTATTCAGAAAGCTGCCATTTCTTCAAAAATCGTGTCAGAAACAGCATTTGTTCATATATTTTAAGAAACTAATTTCTTTTTCGCACTCAGGTAAAACTTGTATACGTAAAAGTGGGCACGGTAAACGATTGCAACGAATGACGCATTCGGAACTAACTCCTATATTGATATATTTACATAAAAAATGAGATATTATAG